CTCAGTGATCCAGAATTAGTAAAGTTTGACTACATTTATTTCAGAAGCATTTTGGCTGTAGAGCAGTGTTATTGATGCTTTTAGTACAGCAGGTTGATTACCACAGCAATGGTACCCTTGCGAGTAGTGGGTTCCAGATTCCTACCCCTTGTCTTGTGGTGGAGACATCTCTTATAGCTTTTGAGGAGGCAAGAATTCCCCCATAAATCACATCACCACCATTATCAGTCACAGGCAGCTTTATCAGCAACAGTCACCTTGATCACCAAAAGAATAGTCCCAGTGCCCCCCCCCTGCCCCCCCCCACCCCCCGCATCAGTCCATCAGTCACTGATCAAGGTCCTCCTTCCCTTTGGGCTTCAACTGATCTTCCTACAACATGGTGAAGGCTCTCAGAAACCACACCATTAGGATTATCTCCGGGCCTGGGACCCAATCTTGAGTTAGAAGGGCTTGCAACTGGAAGTTGGGGCAGCAATTCATTCTCTCTCTCTACCCAACCAGAGCTCTGTGCGGATGGGGAGACCAATTTCTTCTCCTTGCTCACCCCCCACTTCCCCCTCTAATCAGGACTTCGGGGGCATGGCCAGCTTTCACAGCTGGGTTGCTAATCTTATGAAGTTGTACTGCCTACCACACCACATATCCACGCTTACATCTGTAACCTTCTAACCAGATAAAACTGGAAATTCATGCTCTGGCCTAACTGGTGCTATCTGGGAATCCTGGAGAAGCAGAGATTCCAAAAGACCTCAGTGATTACAAACTTCACTAAGAAAAGCTGAGCTTAGAGGAAGCAGATGCCATCTCTACAATATTGTCTACCAGCCAGCATCACCGTTTTATCTCTATTGAGCCTCAGCCAACTTACTCTCATCTAAGCCCCTATCTAAACCAGTCACTAGGAAAGAAAAGATACACAGGTAGAGAAATCGTTGTGGTAAGATGAAAAAGAAACAGAATTGAATGTTGCCATTATAACACATGGCCTCACACCCTAGATCATTTTTTGTTATCTTCTCCAACGGGCTCTCGTACACTTAAAAAAGGAAAGGTGACAGAACTAAACCCTACAGTAGCCACCCAAGACAGCCATTGGGTCAGACAAGCTGTCACTCCTTACGCTCTAGGTTCTCTCCTAAAAGAAAGTTCAGAGCCCCTCAAACATTAATCCTCCCATGTTTGCTGCAGTCCATAGCCAACCAATAGAGAACTTCATGGTCAAAAGTATCAAAGATCTAATAGAATGAGCAAGGACACTGGAATTGCCATTGCTTGAAGGAGACCAAGGACCAATAAAATGCATCAAGATACACACCTATCTCCATTAACAGTCTGTTCAAGTATGGTATATTTAATCTCAGTACAATTCAAAATGCAGAACCTGCTGGCTGGTTTTAATAAAACTTCCCACTTGAGTCAAGTCACAAGCATTTATATTTTCCACCTAAAAGTGAAATCTGGCCAATTTTGATTGCAAATATAGCTTTTCATTACCACCATGCCTCAGTTTTGCTATGGGCAAAATCAGAAGTATTCTCAGGATTATTCCAGAACAAAGGGTTATTATTTCGAAAGAGAACTTTCACCATTTTCATAACAAAACCGGTTTTCATGTCTGTGTGGAAAAGGGGCAAATCTTCAGCATTGGAAATGACTTTTTTTGTAAGATACAGTAAGAAGGGGAAATTATCAGAAAAAAATCGAGGAAACCATAAAACATTTTTTGATTTGGCAAAACAGTTAGATTTTGTTTGACAATTATCCCAACTGATCCCATTAAACCTTTATTGTTCTCTGCTAAACCTGATCTTGAAGCAAACTATCTGGTGCTAACATCATTTTCTTAAATATCCATATTATGGGGCCATTAGATAAGGTTCATTGCCTTTTCTGAGCGTGAAGAGTAAATGTTTGATTTACCTTCTTCTGACAAAATCTGCTGTGTATCTTGGAAAAAACTTTTTTGCTGGTTTCAAGACTTCTGGATCCAAATAGTGCACTGAAAATCACAGAGCAAGTGAAAACATCAACTACAGTTTGAATGACAGGTCCTCAGTGGTTGCTGTGTTGGGCTCTCTCCAAGATCAAGGTGGGGCTAGGAGGGAGATGAAATCACCTTTTGTGACCTGCTGGATCCTTCTGGCCCAGGCCAATTCTGGCTGTTCTGGCAGTGAATCACTGGGGCTTTGACACACCCAACCCATGATCTCTTTCTCATGGGAGAACTACAGCATCTTTCTATGCAAGTAAAGAATTCCCTCCATAGTCTTTAGAACAGACTGGCTCTTTCTTCTCTACCACAAGGGACAAATTGCCACTGAATTTTAAATGCCCACATGAGTTTTGAAAAGAACTTCTGACAATTTTTTCACTGTGTCTTTATTATTAAATGAAAGTTTATTTGAACCATTCTCCTTCAGTCCCTCTGAACACTCATTTCAATAGGTTGCCAATTGGAATTCCCGGAAATGAATGGTAATCTAGCAGTTTTTGCCTGGCACCTTGGTAAATGTGTCTTTTACCTTAACAGCTGTTTATCATCTAAATATCCATTTTTACCTTAAAAAGTCTTCAATTGTCCTTGTATCTGAGCACTGTGTAGTGAGAGAGGCTGCTAGATCTGAAACACAATAAAAATGGAAGAATTGGATTTTTAAAATTTGGCTTAAAAATTTGACTGTATTCCTGTTTCGTTACTGTTGTATTTGTGCTTGGCAGTAGGGGTGGAGGGCAGAATAATATATTTTACATGTATATATATAAAAAATTAAAGTGTACCCTGCTGGATTATTACAAAGACTGTAATTTCATCTTTAGGTTCATTCTCACAATTTATTACATCAGCCCTCTGTACGAAATTATAGCTTGAAGCCCACATGGTGATAGATTTTATTCTCTAGTCGAAAGCTAGTTTGAATAGCACTGAAATATATAGCAGAACCTGCATAAAGGAACCCTACTGATGTCTAACTGATACAGGCATATATAATTCCCTGTCACAGCATTCAGTAGGAGAACTTAATAATAAGATTACTCTGGTTTTATTGTTTTCTCCTTGATTCTTCTCTCCCTTGCTATATGCTTTCATCAATCTCGGCCAAAGATTAGAAACAAAAAACCCAGATTGATTTGCAAGCTTTGTTTTTTAGATTAAAATGAAATATCCAGCATTCAGAAGGTCTCTCTTTTTTTTTTAACCACCGAATTAGAGGCCCTGAAATTGGAACTGATTTTATACTTTCCTATAATAATATTTTTATGAGTGAAATTGGAAGAACAGCCACTCAATGGGAGAGGAGGGAGAAATGGAGCTGGCTAGTGCTACAGAAATATTTATGGGGAGTTTTGATGTTTAGGTTGGAGCATAAAGGAACTTTTACTGCAAAGACCTACATAAAGATCTTTTTGTTCTATAAATTGTGCCCTCCCCCCCCAACTAAAAAAAAAAGCTCATTTCTGCTAGGGATGGACTAGGCCAGTACAAAGAAGGAGCTGGTGCTGCCTTTGGCCCAGTATGCAGAAACCTGTTATATAGCACTTTTCATTTTTAGACCTTAAAGCGCTTTACAAAGGTGATAACTGTCATTATCCTCATTTTGGAGATAGAGAAACTAAGGCAGATATTTACCTAAGGTAGAGCCAGGAAAAGAATGCAGGTTTCCTGAGTTCCATTTCACTTATTTAGCCATTAAGACAGCGGTGGGCAACCTCTGGCGGCCCATCAGGGTAATCCACTGGCAGGCCGCCAGACAGTTTGTTTATATTGACCATCCACAGGCACGGCCGCCCGCAGCTCCCAGTAGCCACGGTTCACCGTTCCCAGCCAAAGAGAGCTGCGGGAAGCGGTTAGCCAATGGTAAACATGGAAAGGATGTATCATCATCACATCCAACTGCCTTAACTCAATGGATCAAGTACCTATTTTTGAGTTCAGTGAACTGGAGTGAGCCTTTCAGCATAAGATCAAGCAAGCCTTAAACCCATAACCTTCAGGATTGTACTCAAGTACTTCAACCACTCAGCCACTACACACTTCTAAATACATCACCACAAATAAAAATAAATCACATTCACTACTGATGAACTTGTGTGTTCACTTTCATCAAAATATTCCAGCATATGAGTTCATTATCAGCAATGTTTGTGGAAATAACAGAAGTTAAGGGAATTCTATGGATTAAGAGCCTGATTGAGAGTCCACTGAAGTCAATGGGAGTCTTTCCTTTGATATCAATTGGCTTTGAATCAGGTTCTATTTGCAGAAAGAAAATTTTGAATTCCTAAGTGTGAACATTCACTAGAAACCTACTTCTAGTGGAAACTCACTCTGCGACTCAAAGTATTCCATGGAGACTAACCAACATACCCCAAATATGGAGTAGCAGATATTCTATATTTATTTAGATTGTAAGTTCTATGGGCTAGGGATTCACCTTTTTGTTTTGTGTATAGCATCCAGCACAATGGGTCCTGGCACATGACTGGGGCTGGTAGGTGCTATCCTGATACAAATAAATAAATAACAATAATATGCCCAATAAATGGCAGACCAAGGATTGTTCACTGAAGTTAAGCTGAAAATAATTTTGTATGTACAAATTCAAGAAAATGGTAAGCATCTCCCAGACAGCTCGCAAATGGAAAGAAAGGCTAAATTCATCAAGTGAATTATTCATTCAGCTTAACCTGCTCCATAAACCAAGTTCATTGCTAGCCAGAGAATGCACCATGCACCAAAGAATGAGAAAACAGTCTGACTGTGAGAAGTGAGCTAACAAGTACTGTGTCCATAACACATTCATCCCAAGGGTCAATTACTAAACTATGAGTTATTCTTACTCGTAATTTCAGAAGTTTTTAAGTAGGAGAGGAGCACGTCTCCCTCAAACACCATGGAAGCAGAAGAGATAACAGGGAATAGTAAGGTGAATGGACATGAATGTTGATAAACTTAACTCATCAGCAATGAGAGAGGTAAGTACTATAGGTGCTCTTTAAATAGACTTAGAGAGACTTATATTTCTCTGCCTTCCTCTTCCAATCCATCAGAAAGGAACATCACATTCATCATATATTTGGAACTCAAAAGTACAGGGAGAAAATACTCCATCACAAATCTAGTGTCAAAAACAGAAGAGAAAAAAGAAGTCTTTCTCACGACTAAGACAGGAGAAGAAAAATTGCTCTTATCAGACAAAACGACAAAATAAAAAATAGTAAGCACATATTTGTTTATGGAATATGCAGCCTTCTTTGTGCATTAAGGGAATTATGCAAATTGCTAGATTCCTCCCAATCTACGAGACCTGAAGAAAAATATATCAATAAAACAGTCATTTCAGAAGGGATCAAGGCTGAGAGTCAGAGAGGGCTCAGTGCAATGAAGAACATCATCACCTCCAGGACATCAGGAAAAGCTAACGTAGGCTGTAAGTGGTTAAACATCATCATCTCCATCAAAGTTATTGTCCCATGGCCTTTGTGGAATGAGACAATGGATTCAACCCAAACACTTCTGGCCAAAAAATAAGTACAAAATAGCCCACTATCACAACTGGCATTGGTTAGCATTGGAGAGATCATCAATTGATCCTCAGAGATGTTCTCTCCTAAGTCAAGGGTGAGTCATTCTGACAAGACAGCATGTGGAGAAGCTTGCATTACCACCACCGTTCCTCTACCAGTTCTGTAACTCCATTCTTGAGCGTCATCAATCCATCGACCATCCATACATTCACACAAAGGGCTGAAATGTAGCTCAAATACAAATGGCGTGGATGATATCTCTTCCCTAGGGTGACCATACGTCCCATTTTGGCTTGGACAGTCCCCGTTCCAAACTTAGTCCCAGATGTCACAACTTTTTTGGCAAAACTAGACGTTTGTCCCATTTGCTCTTGCCCTAGAAAGGTGTGGAGGAATGTTCAGACAAGAGCAAATGGGACAAATGCCTAGTTTTGCTAAAAAAGTCATGACGTCCGTGACATCAGCTTTGGCTGTCAGCCCCGCAGGGCAGGGTTCAGGAGAGCAGCAATGACGCGCTAGCCCGAGTCACCTGGTCACCACTTACCTGGTGAGATAGAAAATAAATTGTGAACAAGAGTAAAAGAAGGAATATGGAACACCAAGACCTCAAGTTTTTATACTCCATCATTTTGGACACAGTTTCCTTTGCAAGTGTCTCTCACCTTTGAATGCGGACCCAGGTATAGCACATTTCATTGGGCAAACACTTGGAATACCTCTTTTATGATTCATTTGCCTTGACAAAGTGTCAGCTCTTTCATTATACAGCCAGCGGTGGGTGGCGCAAGAGGAAAGGGGCCAAAGTCAACTGGATAAAGAGTCAACAACTCCAGTATAAAAAATAGACTTATCCGTTAACAAAACAATTAAAACAATTACTTAAATAGCCCAGGGTGTATTGTCGACTAGTTCCCAAGTAATTTTAACCTACTTGTTGACAGGTTATGTGGATTTTCACATGCTAATTTATCAGTACATTAAAAAATAACTGAATAGCCCAGTGTGTATCCTTGTCTGGTTCCCAAGCAACTTAACTTACACATTGACAAGTTATGTGGATTTTCACATACTTATTTACCACTTCAAATCAAAATGTACTTACCATAGTAACCTCTGTATCGTATTACATATAGAAAGTTCTTCTTACAACACTCAATAAATGGTCTCATATGTGTGCCATAAACCTTAGCTGTTTGCCAAAGCTGTGAAGAAACAGAGAAGCAATGAAAGAGATGGTTTTCTTAGGCCTAGATTAAAAATTTACTATAGACTGAGGATGCAGAAACCAATTCTGTTTGCTGCAGAGGGCTGAATTGTACCAGTCTGACTGAATAATAGCAACATTTGCATCTGCGTGGTGCCTTTCAATCAAGAATTTCAAAGTGCTTTACAAAGTATTTTTTCATCCAGCTCAAGTTCAATGTATACAAATATCATAACCACCTGTAAAATGGGTGAATCAAAGAAAAGAAAGCTTTAAACCCCCATTTTCAGAAGCATCCTCTAATTTTGGGTGTCTTGGTTCTTGGTTTTCCAGTTTTAAACACTGTAAAGTGCTCTCAAGCTGGTCACCCAACATATCACTCAAAATTAGTGGCCAATTCTGAAAATATTGTTCTAAATAATATCTACCTCTTATATTGCATTTTTCATCAGTTGATCTCCAAGTATGTTAAAATGGAAGTAAGCATCATTGTTCCCATTTTACAGATAGGTAAACCAAAGCACAGAGAGGGGAAGTGACTTAGCCCCGGTCACTCAGCTGGCCAGTGCCAAGCCAGGAATAGAATCCAGGTGTCTGGAGTCCATATCCACTGTGCTACCCACTAGACCATGCCCAAGTATGCATAGCAATTTACTGGCATGACAGGGAATGGAACACAAAGGTCCTGGACTCCTAGTCCCATGATGCATCCACTAAATAATCTTTTACTACCCTTAGCTACTGGGTAAGAAACCAAAAAGCACAATTAGCAGCCATGATAACATTAAAAGATACTGATGCCCTGTATCCAGATTATGACACAGAATTGGCGGGGAGTGAGTGGGGAGGCATTAATATTAGATGAGAACCTACAAAAAGGAAGATACCTTTTTAAATTGTAGCAGCTACAATACTGCAGCACTACCCGTTGATTCTTTCCAGACTCTCTAAAACAATAGAAAATAAAAGTTAAATGTTAATCTTGAGCACTATACCAGAAACCATCCACTTTGCATTTATTCACTCTGAGCTCCTTTCACACAACAAAAGGGTTTTCTTTGGGGAAGAAAGAAGGCTCAGTGAAACTGTTTAAATAGGAATATTGTCCCAGATTAACGAGCCATTCATGAAGATGGGTTGACGTTTTCAAAAGTGTTTTGACTCCGATTTCCGGTAGATGTGGTTACAAATGAACTCTTTGCATGGCTAAATACTGGAAAGACTACAGACATTTAAACACAGATACTTTCACTCCACCTTTCCAAAGATTATATTATACAATCTGGGTAGTGGTATGAAAGCAGGTATAAGTTTCACAATGAGAACTTGGTTAATTCTCATCAAGATTCAAGTCTCTTCATGCAAGTGATATCAATACTTTTCAACATTAAACATAAGTAAACTTTTTGTTCATATCAACACTATTGCACTGCACAGCACAGTACACACACACACACACACACACACAGCCCTATGGCAAATAGTTCTTTGTAATTTAAAGGAATTCCGTCTACTAGTCTGTGATCTTATATTTAGAATTTGTTAAACGTAAAAAGCTTTAATAAGAACAAGAATTTAATAAGAACAGAAATGTTTCAAGTGTTTATGTTATTAAATTGAAATTGTTGTATTTGCTAGTCCGGATAAGTAAAAGTGATTAGAAGGAAAGTTAACTAGTCCAACTTCACCTTCCAAACTGAGAGGGACATGAAAAAAGTAAACAGCCTAGATAGCAAATTTAATTTTCCTTTTAAAATATATTTCAGTTTCAATCATTCTGAGTTGTTATTACCAATAGGACTAAGGATGATGTTGGGGTTCTCTTTATTTTTATCTTTGGCTCTGCTCTGGCTGCTTTGTGCTGTTCTTGTTGTGCAAAACACCCCTAAAGCCAACTTAACCAGTCCCCCTGCAATGGGAAGCTTTGCATGGCACCATATTGCCATAATAGTTCCTACCCCCTTCCTTGGAGATCAGCATAGTTCATACTTTGCAACAACCCCTGGCTCCAGGTATGGTCCCTTGTGGACATAAGTCAGACACACCCTCAGGCTTCTCTAACTCATGCCAAGAGCATGAGCAGATGCTTATCAGATGCAGAATCCAGATGCTACAAAGGTGGTTTAAAGGCACCTCTACCACTCTTTCCACCCCCATCTCATACTGAGCCTAGCTCAGCTGGACCAGAATATCTCCCCATGCCCCATCTGCTAACTGTTCATATTTTACTGATGTAAGGAGAAAAATCCCTGAAGCCATTAATAATAGAATGTTACTGATTCATTCTGTGTTATGGTATTTTGTGACATCTCACTGTGACTCTGAAATACCACTAATGGAACAATGAACTTGCCTCCGCTTTACAGTAACAACAGATGCTGGTTTGGAGATTAGTGACAGAATTTGGAAAGCACCTTTATAGTTAAGTGTTGCCACATTCTTTCCAAGCAGTTCTGGTGGTATTAATTTAATCCCATTCACATCACCATAATAATTGCCAGTTATGACATCTTCAAACTCAGCACTTCAGGCAATTATATGGCAGCACAGGATAGGCTGCTGTGCTGGTCTTGAATCATCATTAGTGTAAAGTATCACCTTAACAAATAGTCCTTTGAAAAATGATGTGTCTGCATGCTGGACTGGTGGTCACAAGGAAATATGCACGACTGTGTTGTATATGGGTAGAAGTCATTTCATCCATCATTTTAACTCTGCTTTGGAATAAAATGTTTTCCCTTTACAAACTCCCCTTCCATATCCCAGGACACACTCTGCAGTCACAAAAGCTGGTATTCTGGAAGTTGAATTCACTTCTCCATGTAAGCCCGTGCTAATAGCTGGCACTCACTGTGGGAAAGTAAAATACATTGAACCTTTCCTCTAAGAAAGTCTATACTCCCCGCTTTGGTTAGCAGGAGGAATAAAAGTCCTAAAGTCAGGTCCTCCAAGAAGTAACTTACTATGATTCTCAGAAAGTTCTCAAGATATAACTCCATCAAAATATTATCAGAGGCAATGGGTAGTTTTACTGTTGCACTGTTCCCTGGGGAATCATTGTCTGTAATCTGATTAGACTAGTACAAAAGGGGATAATTTTGTAATGAATAATACTCAAGGTGAGCCTAGAGTAGAAATGTGCTGGGTGATGTTACTGAGGTAAATGAGAATATACTACTGACCACCTGACCACAATGGTGATGGTGACTGTGAAATGTTCAGGGAGATTAGACAGGGAGTACAAATAGAAAACTCAATAATAATGGAGGATATCAACTATCCCCCATATTGACTAGGTATGTGTCACCTCAGGACAGAATGCAGAAATAAAGTTTCTAGACACCATTACTAAATGCTTCTTGGATCAGGTAGTCCTGGAATCCACAAAGGTGGAGGCAATTCTTTTTTAGGCCTAAGTGAAGCACAGGTTCTGGTCCAAGAGGTGAATATAGCTGAACCGCTCGGTAATAGCAACAATAATGTCTGGGTAGTTAAATTCTATTAGAATTCTTTGAGGTGATCAACAAACATATGGACAAGGATGATCCAGTGGATAAAGTGTATTTGCACTTTCAGAAAATCTTTGACAAGGTCCCTTTCCAAGAGCTCTTAAACAAAGTAGGCAGTCATGGGATAAGATAGGAAACAAAGGGTAGGAATAAATAGTCAGTTTTCACAGTGGAAAGAGATAAATAGAGCGGTCCCCCAAAGATCTGTACTGGGGACAATGCTGTTCAACATATTCATAAATGATCTAGAAACAGGAGTAAACAGTGAGGTGGCAAAATTTGCAGTCAATACAAAATTAATCAAGATCATTAAGTCCAAAGCAGACTGTGAAGAATTAACCATGGAACTCACAAAACTGGGTGACTAGTCAACAAAATAGCAGATTCAATTCAATGTTGATAAATGCAAAGTAATGCACATTGGAAAACATCATCCCAACTATACATACAAAATGATGTAACCACTCAAGAAAGAGATCTTGGTGTCCTTATATGTAGTTCTCTGAAAATATCTGCTCAATGTGCAGCAGCACTCAAACAAGCTAACAGAATTTTAGGAACCATTAGGAAAGGGATAGATAATAAGACAGAAAATATAATGCCTCTGTATAAAAACATGGTACGCCCACACCTTGAATAAAGTGTGCAATTTTGGTCATCCCATCTCAAAAAAGATATATATTAGAATTGGAAAAGGTACAGAAAAGGGCAACAAAAATGATTAAGGATATGGAACAGCTCCCATGTGAGGAGAGATTAAAAAGACTTAGAAAAGAGATGAGTAAGAGGGATATGATAATCTATAAAATTGTGACAGGTGTGAAGAAAGTGTTATTTCCTCCTTCACATAACAAGAACCAGGAGTAACCCAATGCAATTAAGCAGCAGGTTTAAAACAAACAAAAGGAAGTACTTTACACAATACACAGTCAACCTGTGGAACACATTGCCGGGGCTTATGAAGGCCAAAACTATCACTGGGTTCAAAAAAGAATTAGATAAGTATATGGAGGATAGGTCCATCAATTGCTATTAGCCAAGATTATCAGGGATGCAACCCCATGCTCTGGGTGCCGTTATCTTCTGACTGCCAGAAGCTGGGAGTGAACGATGGGTCACTTGATGATTACCTGTTCTGTTCATTCCCTCTGAAGTACCTAGCATTGGCCACTGTCAGAAGACAGGATATGGGGTTAGATGGACCATTGGTCTAACCTATGTTAGTGAATATGAACTGTCTATGCCAACTATCCTGATATTCATTGCTCGTGTTATGTGAGTGGGTCACCAAACTCACATGATAGTTCTGCTATTTCCTGATGGTGTGGGTGAAACTTTTTGAACAGGAAAATAACAAAAAATGAAGAAGTTTCCAACATGACTCTTTAAACCAATAAATACTTGGGACATGTTCAATTTGCAACTCTAATTGAAATAAATGGGAACTGTGGGTGCTCAGCATTTCTGAAAATTAGACCCTTGGACTAAGAATTCAACAAAAAGTTGAGACTCACAAACATTTTCATGATTACTTGATAGCCGTTCATATGATTTTGCTTCTGAGGAACATATAAAGCAAATTTGTTGTGAGGTTATTTTGCCCAAACATGCATTAATGGCTTTTTAAAAAAATCAGCTTTCTCTGGGGTGTAGCACAATGACAGCCATAAAGTCCTATGTGGCTACAGAGCTATAATAAACTTGAATCTGAAACTTGTCTGAGGTCTGAAGTTCAGTTTTACCCCATTTATTTTTTTTCCTTTTTCATTCACCTTAGAGCAGTGGTTCCCAAACTTGTTCCGCCGCTTGTGCAGGGAAAGCCCCTGGCGGGCCGGGCCGGTTTGTGTACCTGACGCGTCCACAGGTTCGGCCAATTGCGGCTCCCAGTGGCCGCGGTTTGCTGCTCCAGGCCAATTGGAGCTGCTGGAAGCGGCAGCCAGTACATCTCTCAGCCCGCGCCGCTTCCTGTAGTGTTACTACTTGAAGAATAAAATAATTCTGTCTGTGTTAGAATTGCAGTATCTGGTCCTTAGTTTAATTTTTTTTCTAAAACTCTGTAATAGTGTCTAAATGTATTCATGGCATGCACTACTGCAAAGCCAATCAAACAGATAAAAGCACACAGGCAACAGGCATTTTAACAGATCATTTAATAAATGGATTTGCTCTGTCCTTGAAAAAATTAGTGGTTGTTTCTTCCTAAACTTAACCTTCATAGAGGTTGCGTCATCTGTCATACACATGAAGCATAAACTCATGAAACAATGCATCTCTGTACAAGTGCCTTCAAACTCAATCGGATTCTTATAACATGAAAATTCTGAATTGTATGATACATGCACAGGTAATTAATATGCTGTTCCTTAAAGGAGAGTGACCGCTGTCTTAACTATCGGTAGAGAACAATGGATCACTACCTGGTGATATGTAGCAACTGC